GGTTCCCTGCCATGGTTCCTTGGATTGGTTCCCTGCCATGGTTCCCTGCATTGGTTCCCTGCCGTGGTTCCCTGCATTGGTTCCCTGCCGTGCTCCCCTGCATTGGTTCCCTGCCGTGTTCCCCTGCCATGGTTCCCTGCATTGGTTCCCTGCCATGGTTCCCTGCATTGGTTCCCTGCCGTGGTTCCCTGGATTGGTTCCCTGCCGTGCTCCCCTGCCGTGGTTCCCTGCCGTGGTTCCCTGCCATGGTTCCCTGCATTGGTTCCCTGCCGTGGTTCCTTGGATTGGTTCCCTGCCATGGTTCCCTGCCGTGGTTCCCTGCCGTGGTTCCCTGCCATGGTTCCCTGCATTGGTTCCCTGCCGTGGTTCCCTGCCATGGTTCCCTGCCGTGGTTCCCTGCATTGGTTCCCTGCCATGGTTCCCTGCATTGGTTCCCTGCATTGGTTCCCTGCCATGGTTCCCTGCATTGGTTCCCTGCCGTGGTTCCCTGCCGTGGTTCCCTGCCGTGGTTCCCTGCCATGGTTCCCTGCATTGGTTCCCTGCCATGGTTCCTTGGATTGGTTCCCTGCCGTGGTTCCCAGGCCGGCTCGCGGTGCCAGGCCCGAGCAGGTCGGACAGGCTCGGGGCAGACGGAAGGGAGCGGCCGCCCGCGGCTCAGGAATGCGCAGCCCTTATCTCTGGCTCCCCTGCAATCCTGGGGAGGGAAGGACTCTCCGGAGTTTGCCTTTCTCTCGCTCTTACTCACCCTCTGCCCTGGGTGGAGCTCGATCCTGCAGGCTCGGAGGTGCCCGTGAATCAGGCTGCAGGCACGTCCAGGGCGGCAGAGCCGGGCGGCAGCGCGACCCGCCACCTGCACGGCGCACCTGGGAGGTAGGGGAGGTTCGGAGCTCCGGCCCCGAGGGCGCTGCGAAGCGGTGGGCAGCGGCCGGGGGCTCCGCTGCTGCTCCGCTGCTCTGGGCCGGGCGCTCGGAGGCTGCGGGTGGGGGGTGGCTGCTGGGGGCTCAGGGTTGTGAGGGTTGTGAGAACTGCAGGGGGGCGAGGAGAGTCCCAGGAGGTCGCAGAGTCATCGAGGGGCCTGGGGTGAAAAGGACCGCGGTGATCATTGAGTTCCGACCCCCTGCTGTGTGCGGGGCCGCCAACCAGCAGACCGGGCTGCCTGGAGAGCCCATGGGGAGCCATAGGGAGCCATAGGGTGCCACAGGGAGCCATGAGGGTCCACAGGGAGCTGTAATCATCGAATCCTAGAATGGCCCAGGTTGAAAAGGACCATAATGATCATTGAATTCCAACCCCCTGCTGTGTGTGGGGTCACCAACCAGCAGCCCAGGCTGCCTGGAGAGCCCATAGGGTGCCATAGGGATCCATAGGGAGCTATAAGGATCCATAGGGAGCTGTAATCATCGAATCCTAGAATGGCCCAGGTTGAAAAGGACCATAATGATCATTGAGTTCCAACCCCTGCTGTGTGCGGGGTCACCAACCAGCAGCCCAGGCTGCCTGGAGAACCCATGGGGTGCCATAGGGATCCATAGGGTGCCATAGGGATCCATAGGGAGCCGTAATCAGAATCCTAGAATGGCCTGGGTTGAAATGGCCCACGCCGCTCATGCAGTTTCAAGCCCTGCTCTGTGCAGGGTCGCCAGTATCGGCGTGTGTGCTGCAGAGCGGGGCAGCGTGTGGTGGCAGGGCTGGACGAGCCCTGCAGGAGGCCAAGAGCCGGGAGCATCTGCTGCAGCTGGCTGCCCCGTGCCTGCTTCGTGCCCACGCCGCCTGCCTGGCTGTGCAGCTGCCTGCCAGCACGGCCCGCGAGCAGCAGCGCAGGCGTTGGTGCAGGTACGTGCAGAGGCACGGGCAGATGTGTGTGGACGCGTTCAGGTGCACGTATAACTCATTTTTTCCACAGATGTGAGCCTGTCTGACTGAACTCTGGCTTTGTGTGTGTGTGCAGAGAGGAAGGAGGAGGGAGGTTTTGCGTTCTCAGCACTCTGCAGTCAGTGGGGCTCAATTACGGCCTTTGTCTGGCCCCAGGACCCAGGTTCTCTATCATCTACAATGGTTAGAGGTGCTTGGGGAGGGGAAGAAGCGCCGTAGAAACCTTCAGCCGAAAGCAGTCAGGTTGTGGAAGCTGCAATCAGCTCTGCTGTGACAGAGGACAAAATGCAAACAGCCTCCGTGCACAGCAGGGACAAATGCAGCACAGAGCTCTGCTGGCCAGCATCGCTTTGCACGAGCTTCAGCGGCGTGTTTCTATTCTGTGATTCTATGATTCGGTGATTCTGTTGGGTGAGAGTAAGGAGATGAGCAGACAAAAACAAGGTAGCATCCCTTCATCCCATTAGAACTGGCGCAGGTGTGCGGCGTGGGGGCACGGCGTGATTCATTTTCATTTTAGCCCGGCCTCTGTTTATCCCAGGAGCTGCAGAGTTGGGTTGGGGTGATTGAGGGCGGTGTGTCTGCTGTCATCTGGCAGTGCAAATAGTGGCAGGCTGGGGAAGAAAAAAGTCATGCTCCTCGTGTGGTTGTAGGGAAACCTGCGCGTCAAAGGCAAAGTGAAAATGTCCCAGCAGAGTATGCTGTAATGGTCCCAGAGTGGGAGCAGGGCTCAGGGAGCTGACATTTACCTGCCCTGTAATGGTCCCAGAGCGGGAGCAGGGCTCAGGGAGCTGACATTTACCTGCCCTGTAATGGTCCCAGAGCGGGAGCAGGGCTCGGAGGCAGACTGAGCCCTGCCTCGTGGCCCAGGCAATTGCTCTGAACAACTGGAACTCGCCAGCAAACCCGGCAGGATTGGACTTCTTTCACTTTCATGAGTGAGGGGAACACTTCGGGGCTGCTTTTCAGGCCCCATTTGGCAAACCTTGACGGAGAAGAGCTGTTTTCTGAAGCCTCAGACATGGTGAGGGGGATCATAAAGGGCCAGGGCTGCATGCAGTTATCCTCCAGATTGCACCACGCATTATTGGGCCTTTTCTTGAAGTTACACACGTTCTCAGGAAATAGCAATCCAAGTGGCAGGCCCAGGGGAACCTCATGAGGTTCAGCAGATCCAAATGCCAGACCTTGCACCCGGGCTGAGGCAGCGCCCATTACCAGCACAAGCTGGAGGATGAAAGGATTGAGTGCAGCCCTGCCAAAAAAGCCCTGAGGGTGATGGTGGATGGGAAGCCGGCGCTGGCCGGGAGCCAGCACCGTGCCCTTGCAGCTCAGAAGGCCGATCTGGGCTTTCCTGGGCTGCAGGCAGAGCAGATGGAGGGAGGGGACCCTACCCCTCTGCTCTGCGCCTGGGGCCTCACCTGGAGATGAGCGGTCCTCAGCACGGGAGGGACGTGCAGCTGTGGAAGCGCATCCAGAGGAGGCCACGGGAATGATCCCAGGATGGAACTGCTCTCCTGGGAGGACAGGCTGAGAGCTGGGCTGTGCAGGGAAGGGAAGAGGAGAGAGGAGAGGAGAGGAGAGGAGAGGAGAGGAGAGGAGAGGAGAGGAGAGGAGAGGAGAGGAGA